TAAATAATGTGGTTCCACGCCCAATAAAATTCGGGTTCTCTACCGTGAAAACGACAATCAAAGGTCTAAAGGCAGGAAAATCACCTGGTATAGATAAAATTACTACCACAATGATAAGTAACCTGCCCAATTCAGCACTAAGAATTATTTTGTTCATCTTTAACTCGATGCTACGTATTGGATATTTCCCTACCTCATGGAAAGTATCCGAAATTGTTATGATACCAAAACCGGGAAAAGATGTCACTCAAGTGACATCATACCGTCCCATTAGCCTGTTGTCTATATTCTCAAAACTTTTTGAAAAGTTATTACTTGAAAGCCGTATACTACACCTCAACGATAATTGCATTATTCCTGACCATCAGTTTGGTTTCAGAAGAAAGCACAGCACTATCGAACAGGTACATCGAATAACTACTCTTATTCGGAAGGCCTTCGAGAGCAAGCAATATTGCTCAGCATTATTCATAAATATTTCTCAAGCTTTCGATAAAGTCTGGCACCATGGACTAATACACAAAATTATCACATTACTACCTGCGAATGTTCACAAACTGCTTAAAAATTACATATATGAAAGATCTTTTCAAATCAGATCAAAAGATGTGATCTCTTCACGTCGAAAAATATCTGCTGGAGTACCCCAGGGGAGTATTCTAGGTCCGTTCCTATATATTTTATATACTGCATATATGCCAACGAGCGCACTGACTCACACATCTACATTTGCGGACGATACCGCTTTTGTAAGTATACATGAAAACCCTTCAATAGCTTCTGAACAACTCCAGTCTCACATCGGCGAATTGGAAAAGTGGCTGGACAAATGGAAAATAAAAGTCAATGCCACAAAATGTACTCACGTTACATTTACTTTAAGACGGGAAAATTGTACTCCAGTACAGATAAACGAAGCCATGTGAGATATTATGGTATCCACCTTGATCGCCGCTTAACATGGACTCACCACATAGAAGCCAAGATTACACAGATAAAATTAAAGTCAACTCAAATGTACTGCCTAATTGGACCACGGTCTGCTCTAGACTTGGAGTACAAAGTGCTTTTGTACAAAACAGTTATAAAACCGATATTGCTATACGGCATTGAACTGTGCACAGTGGGGCAGAATCGAAATTTTTTGGAAATAAATCTGGCATTTCTAAACGGCTGATCCGATCGGGATAAAATTTGGCGTGAGCGTAGCCAAGGAGTTTTGAAGATGAACCCTGCAGATGCCCCAGGGACGGCGCCGTGGCGGCTCAAAGTAGGGTACCTACGACATGTAAAATTTTTAAACTCGTGCCTCGTTCACTCGTTCACCCAAATACAAAGATTTTTATATTTTCTGAAAGCGCTCGACGAGATCTTGAAAAAACATGCTTGGACATACTACTTATCTCTTATAATATCCGAGTTATAGGCATTTAAAAATTTAGTGATACAAAATTTACCATACCTTGGTCCGCCTTTTTTTGAATACCGGGTGTAATTTTGAACCAAATGGACTTGTTAGTTAGACAACAAAATTTTCAATAATATACAAAAAATTTCAGATCAATATCATTTACAGATCCAAAAATATACGTTTTTTAATTTATAAATTCAAAAAATTTTAGATTTTTGCCGTTTTTTGCCAAAAATGTGTCTTAACTCTTTTATTAATAAAATAAAATATTCTTTAAGAACATATAACAATTTTATAGTTTTCTAAAAGGTATCTTTACGTAGAACGCTTTGACGTAAAAAACTTGTCCTATTTTTTTAAAATGTTGCCACTGCGTCCTTCCGAATATGACCTATTTTTTATCAAAACTTCAACTTTGGGCGACATGTTCTAAAATCCCAAAGCTGGGATCAGAAAACTGAAAGCAGTTTTGGAAACCTCAATATGTTTTCTATTTACTCCAAAAGTATTTTCCCAGCCCTGAAAGAAATGTGGACCCTATGGGCAAAAAAGTAAAAAATCCCATTTTTGTGATTTTCATTCATATTTTTGGGAATTGCGGGATGCCCTTTGACCTTTTCATTTTTTTTTGCATTTTCTTATTTGAAATGACAAATTTAACAAGCGTTGAAAATCTCATTGAGTTTTGTTCATAAATAAAGATTTTGTCATATATTACATATTTGTTTAATTTCTAAAACTATGATTTATATCAAAATTTTAATAGGGTCGCAGATAGCTACAACAATTTAGTCCATATTTATCCCTTAATATATTTTTTAGTTAGATATGGAAATTCTCGATTCTTTACAAAAATTTTCAAGCCAATATCTCAATTACATTCAAAAATATGTTCATTTAAACCTGTATCCTTAAATTTCATATTTTTCATATTTTAGTATTAAATATGACAGAACATATTTGAATCTTATATTTACCTATTTTCTATTTGTTTGCTTAAATTTTCAGAAATTTATAACTATTTTTTACCTAAATTTTTTCGACAGATCATTTCGTTCTGTTTCGTTTATGATCATGTAGGTAAAAATATACAGGTAATGATAATTTCGATTCATTCACTAATAAGAAATATCAATGACTGAATTACAGGTTATAGTAATATAGTCCTAATGTTAATAGGTAGACAATTCGTAATTTTTTACTTTGGAATACCTGTATCGGAAATGACAAGAATTGGTATATAAGTAAACTTCTCAGATTTTAAGTACCATATTTAATAAATCTACAATGAAGATTACATTAAAGTACGAAGAGTTGTGTTCCGTTTTATGGAGTGTATATTCAAAAGGGCCAGAAAGAATTGAAGACATTTCAAATTATATAAAAACTACATATAGTAGAAAAGTAGACAAAAAAGGCATATCAAAAATTGAAAACTTTTTGATGTAAAAAGTAAGTCTGTGATGGAAATCAAAAGAAATTTCGATTAAAATTTTGTAGTTGGATGGAAACTACTACGGAAATCTTAACTTACAACACATCAACAGGAGCGCCTTGCAAGTCATACGAAGACTTATGTTCAAGGTAAAAAAAAAGAGGGTCACACAAAAACTTTTTTCAATCTCAAATGAGGAAATTGCTGATACATTTAACGAAATGCTGAAAAAGGAAAACCAACCTATGGATGCCGTACATATTGCAACTATTCTTCCTAATGCATCACCAAAACGACTTAAGCGAATTGTGGAAAGTATACCAACTCCAACATCACAATCAAATTTTACTGAAGAGGAAGCAATAGCGCTTATGTTGGAACTGGGTCTCAGTCGAAATAAGTACCAAATATTAAGGAAAGCTCTGCATGAAAAAGGACACAATATATTACCATCATACAAGGTGATCCAGGAAAAAAAACAAACTATCCTACCATCACCTATTGCTGTTAATGATGTGGAAGCTTGTATTGATATATCATCTTTGCTCGAAAACACAGCATCAAGAATTGTGTCAAACTTTTCAGAAGACCAACTAAGGAAAATTCATAACTGTGATGTTGTCTTAATGTGTAAGTGGGGATGTGACGGTTTATCAGCACTTCCAGAATACAAACAAGCTTGTGGAAGTCGGACATTAGCAGACTACAAAAGTGTATTTATGTCATCATTAGAGTCATTACGAATTCGTTCATATTCCCTTAATCCATCATCGTCAAGCATCGGAAATTCATTTGAAGATATATGGATCAATACAACTCCGGGTTCAAAAAATTTTTGTAGACCCATTGGATTTGAATATATAAAGGAGTCAAAGAAAACAACAAAAGATTTAGTGGAATATTTAAAAGATGAAATAAATGCACTGGAGCCCATTTGCATAAAAATAAAGGAATTCTCTATTAACGTATCATATCAGCTAAGCTTAACAATGATTGATGGAAAGGTCAACAATGCCATAACAGAAACTTCTTCCTTCTGGAGATGCTCAATATGTAATGAGAAAAAGTCGCAATTCTCAAATATAAACAAAAGCAGAAGTATTAATGAAGAAGTCCTGTCTTTCGGAATTTCACCACTTCATGCCAGAATACGATTTTATTACTTTTTACACATAGCATACGACCTGAAATCAAGACCTGAAATATAGAAGTGTGCCAGAGAATCTTACTAAATCAACAAAAAATAATGAAGAATTGAAAGAACTGAGAGCTGCGGAAAAAAGCAGAATCCAAGAAGAATTTAAAGTTCAGATGGGATTAAACATCGACAAACCACTTCCAAGTTGCGGTAGTACAAATGACGGTAATACGGCGAGAAGGTTTTATCGTGATTTTGAAATTACTTCAAAAATAACTGGAATCGACAAGGAGTTGCTTCGAAGAGTTAACACTATTTTAATGGCACTGAATAGTAAACATAAAATTAATGGAAATCGATTTGGGGAATATACATCTGAAATTTCTAAATTACTTGTATCTCTGTATCCATGGAGGGAACTAACACCAACAGTACACAAAGTATTGTGTCATGGTCAAATAATAATTGAATCGAATATTCTTCCACTTGGAGAGTTAACAGAAGAAGCCCAGGAAGCGAGGAATCGAGATTTTAAGCATGTTCAACTATTCAGCTCAAGAAAATGCTCCAGGCAATCACAGAATGAAGATATTTTTAATAGTTTACTTCTATCTTCTGATCCTGTTCTTTCAACTATGCGAAAAAGATGGATTTGTAATGAAACTCTATCATCTCAAAACAAGGAAGATTTAAAGGACTTATATTACCTTCTGGATATGTACATATACCGATATGACAGATTATTTTATAGAAAATAAGTAGTGTTAGGAATTAACTATATAAGTAGGTTGTAAGAATTAATTGTATTATGTTTAAGATAAACAGTTCAAATAAAAAAAGCTATTATACTAACTGGTCGGGAAAGGTGGTTTGTGTGGGGTGATTTAGGTGTTGTTGTGCGTGGCTCATAATAAAATTATCATTTTTTATTGTATATACAATGTTATAGTCTTTAATAAAATAATTAACTAAATAATTTTCAAAAATTGTCCAAATATTTTATGTCAATGTCAAAGTATACTGGTGCCATACCAAAAAATACATTGAGCTCGCATAAAACGGAAAAGATCCAAACGGGAATGGACCGTTATGTCACTTATACAAAACGTAAGTCGAGCCCTAGGACTTCAAAATTGGAACCAAATCCAAAACAGGCGAAAACAAATTCGGTAAGTCAAAATCGTTTTGCACTCCTTGATAACCAAGAAAGTGAAAAAATACCATCCATGCCTTTAAAAGACTGCAAGCCACCTCCCTTGTATTTGCACGAACCTACCACCAATCTATTGGGTTATAAGTTGTCCCAACTTGGCAAAGAAAATTTCCACGTAGTCTCTCTACGCAAAGGAAACATTCAGGAAACAAAAATACAGACTTATTCAGAAAAGTCTTTTAGGACAATAGTTGATAATTTTGATTCTGAGAAAAGAAATTATTACACGTATCAACTAAAAAGTGCAAAGGGTTTGACAGTAGTTATCAAAGGGTACAGACAGCTCTGTACCAACTGATGACATTAAAAATGCGCTAGAGTCTGAAGGTTATGAAGTGAATTCCATTCACAATATATTTAACAAGGACAAAATTCCTCAACCAATGTTTAGAGTTGAAATTACTTTTAACTCTTCACAATTGAAGAAAAAGGGTGATACTCATCCAATATACAGTTTGAGATATCTTCTTAATCGCAAAATAACTGTAGAGGAACCAATTAAGCACAGAGGTCCTCTTCAATGCCTAAATTGCCAAGAGTTCGGTCACACCAGAACTTTCTGCAAATTACCATCTGTTTGTGTGACATGCGGAGACATCCATAAAACCCAAGTAACTGTGGCCCAAATCACACTGCAAACTATCGCGGATGTCCAGTATATCTACACATCCAACAATCAAATAAGGCCAGAAGACCTTTATATGCTCAATATAAAGCTTCTAACTTCACAAACCTTCCTAATACTTCTAGTGCTCAATATAAAAGTATTACAAATAAAAGTAATCAGAATAAATCGTACGACAAAAGATGGCTCCGTTACCCAAATGAATGCAAAACAAACTTCTAGAGTCCAATATAGAATAATGAAAATTTGCAGACAAATAATGAAAATAATACTCCATTATTTTCATATGCACATGCATTAAAAAAGGGTGTACCCGCACCCGAAACAAATTCTCAAAGCTCTATTGAGAATCGAATTCAAACCATGAACAGTTTCATGGCAAATATGCAAAATATGTTTCAACAATTAATGCAGAATCAAAGCATGCTCATGCAGATCCTGCTAAATAAAAAATGAATTCGCTAAGAATTTGTTTTTGGAATGCTAACGGCCTTAGCCAACACAAGAATGAAGTAGAACAATTTCTGCTACTTCAGGAAATTGACGTACTACTCGTCTCTGAAACACACTTTACCCTAAAGAATTGTTTCAGAATTAATGGATACTATACTTAAACATCCAAGTGGCAGAGCCAGTGGTGGAACAGCTATTTTAGTGAGAAAAAATATTAGACATTTCCCAATGCCAGAATACAAAAAGGACCATATCCAGGCCACCTCTATAAATATACCCGATAGTAGAGTTACAATATCTTCAATATATTGTCCTCCTAGGTATAATGTTAATCGAGAACAAGATTCATAGCAGCTGGTGGTTATAATGCAAAACATACGTTTTGGGGCTCTCGCAGACAATTGCTAGAAGCAATATCGCATAACAGACTAGATGCCATATCTAGTGGCCAACCTACCTATTGGCCTACAGACCTCAATAAGATTCCCGATCTAATTGACTTTGTTGTAATCAAAAATATAAAACGAGAATTTATTTCAGTGATCCCTTCACTGGACCTTTCGTCAGACCACTCGCCTACATTTTTAACGTTATTAGAAACCCCAAATAAATTGGAAAACTATTGTTCTTGTTTCCCTAACAAGGAGACGAACTGGTTAAAGTATAAAATGTATGTTAGCTCACACTTGCCACAAAACATTTCATTGAAAAATTACCATGAAATACAATCCGCTGTCGATATATTTACGGATATCTTACAAGATGCTGTCAAAGTGTCTACACCCCCAGTCACCTTGGGAGAATAATAAAATTCGAAATGTCCTAGAAACATTGAGTCTCTTATTAAAGAAAAGAGAACACTCAGACGTCAATGGCAACAATCGCGATCTCCAAACATAAAGGTTAAACTTAATCAGTGCCAAAGAAGACTTCACATCGCCTTAAAAACTAATAAGGAATCTAATCTGAGAAACTATCTCAAAAACTTAGACCCTACTAAGAAAACAGAATATAGTCTCTGGAAAGCAATTAAGAATATGCAATGCCCTATTGCATATGAGTCACCCATACTCTCTATTGCATATGAGTCACCCATACGCTCTATTGCGTATGAGTCACCCATACGCCTCCAGAATGGTGAATGGGCAAGAAATAATCAGAAAAAATTGAAGCATTCGCCAATCACTTGGAGAATGTGTTTACTCGAAATGATACTGATTCTTCTATTAGTGCTAACATTATAAATAATGTGGTTCCACGCCCAATAAAATTCGGGTTCTCTACCGTGAAAACGACAATCAAAGGTCTAAAGGCAGGAAAATCACCTGGTATAGATAAAATTACTACCACAATTATAAGTAACCTGCCCAATTCAGCACTAAGAATTATTTTGTTCATCTTTAACTCGATGCTACGTATTGGATATTTCCCTACCTCATGGAAAGTATCCGAAATTGTTATGATACCAAAACCGGGAAAAGATACCGTCCCATTATCCTGTTGTCTATATTCTCAAAACTTTTTGAAAAGTTATTACTTGAAAGCCTTCTTGAACACCTCAACGATAATTGCATTATTTCTGACCATCAGTTTGGTTTCAGAAGAAAGCACAGCACTATCGAACAGGTACATCGAATAACTACTCTTATTCGGAAGGCCTTCGAGAGCAAGCAATATTGCTCAGCATTATTCACAGATATTTCTCAAGCTTTCGATAAAGACTGGTACCATGGACTAATACACAAAATTATCACATTACTACCTGCGAATGTTCACAAACTGCTTAAAAATTACATATATGAAAGATCTTTTCAAATCAGATCAAAAGATGTGATCTCTTCACGTCGAAAAATATCTGCTGGAGTACCCCAGGGGAGTATTCTAGGTCCGTTCCTATATAAAATATATTGCTGTGAGAACCAAAGTTGGTACCCGTGTTTTGGTTCCACCAACAAAAAAAACCAACAAAAAAAACTTATTAATTTTATGTTTTACAATGAATTTATGTTAAATAAAATAATTTTATTATATTAAATGTTTTGTGTAATGTGTTTGTCCGTTAAATTCAAATAGTCGTCTATTGTGAATGATTTGTTTTGTGTAACTACAACTCTACAACAGAGTTGTACCATTCTGTCAAATGTGTGTTTACATGTATGTGTGCGTCTGTGTGCTCGTAGAAAAGTATAAAAGAAAGATCAACAATAATACAAGGGGCAGTTTGATATTGGCTGTTGGTGAGTTAACTAGTTTGTTGGCTAGTTTACTTATAAAAAAATATAAAAATAACAATGCGGAGTTGGCTTGGCCTGCTTTGTTATTAAATATATTTTTTTAATAATTAGTGCGCGTATTAAGTGTTAAATGTTTATATTTCTCTTTAATTATACTTTTAATAAATATGATTTTTTTATAACGGTTAAAGAAAAAATAATCATAATTTGTTTTTATTAATAAATTTCTGTACGATCTTGGACAACGCTGAGCTACCCCAGCTTTGAGGAGAAATTCCGTCGTTACAGTGGCGCCCGAGCAGGGACTTCTTTAAATAAATAAAGGAGTCTTTTAAAACAAATAAAAGGATATATAAAAAAATTAAATATATTTTAAATAAACAACGGACATTTTTTTTAATTATTTGAAATGGAAATTTAATTGTGAAGTGAAAAGTTTTTTTTTGTGAACTGTGTTCGTGTTATTGAGTGTAAAAAAAAAAAAATCAACGGGACATTAAAAGCACAAATCGTAAAAAAAAAATATAAAACCGGGACTACGAACAATAAAAATTAAATAAAAGGAGAGACTGTATAATAAAAGCAAAAGAGTGGAGAAAAAAATATATATTGAGAGATAAAAGCGGTACGGTACGAACAAGTGGATGAAAAATCGAAAATGTAAAAGCGGGACAAAACAAAAAGTTAAATAAATCAGGATCGTGTAAATAAATAAACAAAAAAAAATCAACGAACATTATGAACTAGTGGTGTCATGAAAAATTTTATAACTTAAATATTTTTCGAAATTTAAAACGGGACATATAAAACAAATATATTTTACAGCGCGGTTTAAGTTATATAAATAAATTAAAGTGATACCAAACCAACCTGACTGTCGTGATTTGTGTTTGTGTCGCGTTAAACGTTAGAATAAAATAAATAAATGTATATTTACGCGTGTCGTGGAGAAAATTATTGGGTCGAAAATAATACTATTAAATATAAATTTATAATCGCGGATTTACACTCTATAAAATACGTTTTGAAATAAACTTTAAAAACTTTACAAAATAAATTAAAGTAAAATATTTAACACTGGCTTCATTAAAAAGAAATAAAAATAACATCATGTTGAAAACTTCCTGGGCGTATGCATTACGAAAAGACGACCTGTTATGCTACTTGGACGAGTTTGGAATTCAACCAGCTGGCAGCGTGGAAGAGATGAGAAGGCAGATGGCACAATTTATTGGTAGCCCACACTCTCCTGACCAATTAAACCGGTTACTCGAACTGCATACTGCGGCTAAGTATGAAAATTCAGGTAACTCTCCAAACCCATCAGTGTCACCATCGAAAGCTCCCAAAATTCAAATAAACGGAGAATCGAGCCCACTAAAAATGGAATCAGGTATGTCTGTACAAAATTGTAATCCTGGGAATGATGATTTTAATGAAAATAACGCGCACGGAATTGCGAGATAGGATAAACAATTAATTATTGATTTAGTCCGAAAGTGGGGAATATATTATGACGGAGGAAAAGACCCATTATTGTTTATTGAAAGATTAGAAGAAATGTCGGAATTATATGAAGTCAATAAAAATTTCTTGTCAAACATTATGCCAGAGTTATGCAAGGAAAGAGCATTGATATGGTTCCGAAATAATAATAAACATTGGGATAAGTGGGAATCCTTTAAATCCGATTTTCTTAAATTTTTCCTCTCTGCTAGATACTTTGAAAAATTGGAAGATGACATCCGAAGAAGATACCAACGACCAAGAGAAGTTTTCAAAGATTATGTCCTAGCCCTCCAGAATTTAATGCGGCATGCTGAGATGACTGAAGACCAAAAGTTGGAACGAATTTATCGAAACGCTCAACCCAACTACTTATGGTATATTCATAGAAAAGACTTCAGAAATCTTCACGAGCTGCTATGCCTAGCAGAAGATCTGGAAAGCATTCCAACAGCAAACAACCCACCAAATAACTCGCAACCCACACGATATGAACAACACCGAATGATGACAAACCAAATGCCTGTCAGTTATGATAACTCCATGGAAATAGAACCTGACCTCAGTTACCATCGTCGCCAAACATCAGAAGATGCGACTCAAGAACCACTGACACCTTTAGAATTAACTGATATAAAATGTGATACGAATCGATTAAGCGCACTTGTGAAAGTAGGAGCAAACACCTTAATCGCTACGATTGATACGGGAGCAACCAGCAGCTATATTAGCGAAAATTTAGCTGAAAAAATGTTTACTGCCTATCCAAAAATCAACACCAACCTAGAGGTCATACTAGCCGATGGATCAGTAAACAAAATATGGAGCGCTATTCGGACACCTATAAAAATTGGTCAGGAGACACAAACCATAACGTTCCTGATCATGCCAACAGCCATAGAAGAGATGATTATCGGACTAAATTTACTGAAAATCTTCAAGACAACTGTGTCATTTGGCGGTCTATCATTGTATTTAGACGAAACATCATCAACTATTGACCCAACATGCATGGTAATAGTAACTAAAAATACCGCGGAAAACCAATGTGTAACATCCCCAGAAGTAATTGAGGTAACCCCCTCCGACCATATTTCACATTCAAATCCCTCGGATGAACAACAGGAAATAACTAATCCGGTGAGTGTATCCATTCCAACGACAGACTGGACCAATAATACTGACAACGTCACCGAAAACCAGGAAATAATTAAAAAATTTATTGAAGATGAATTACAGGAGTTTAGAAATATTCGCGGACCCACGAATCTAACCGAACATAAAATTATAATGCAGGATGACCGTCCCATTAAAATTAGATATGCTAATCGAAACCCCGCGATGCAGTCAATAATAGATAAAGAAGTTAACAAATTACTCGCAAAAGGATGTATAGAGCCCTCATCAAGTCCATATAGTTTCCCAATAACTCTAGCCAAGAAGAAAAATGGATCATGGAGACTTTGTATGGATTTTCGTCAACTAAACAGCCGTTCTTCCCCCGATGCTTACCCTCTACCGCGTATAAATCACATTTTGGATCGCTTAAGAGAAGCGAAATTTATCAGTTGCCTCGATTTGGAAAACGGTTATTGGCAAATACCAATGGCAGCAGACAGTAAGAAGTATACGGCATTTACAGTACCCGGCCGTGGACTATATCAATGGAGAGTGATGCCCTTTGGTCTTCATTCAACACCGGCAACATTCCAGCGAACACTCGATCAAGTTATTGGAGCAGACATTTGAACAACATGTCCAGCACCTGAAGGAGGTTTTCCGACGATTACGAGAAGCCAAACTAAAGATAAACCCGGAAAAATGTGAATTCTTCAAACGCGAGACTAAATACTTGGGACACGTTGTATGTGACGATGGTATCAAAACGGACCCCGATAAAATAGCAGCCATCTCCCAAATGCAACCTCCTAAAACCTTGAAGGATGTCAGAAGATTTTTAGGAATCACGTCCTGGTACAGACGCTTTGTTCCCGACTTCGCGAAATTATCCCAACCGTTAACGTCATTATTGAAAAAAGGAAAACATTTTAAATGGAACAAAGAGCAACAAACAGCATTCGACGAACTAAAACAAAAATTAACAGAATCTCCAATACTGGCTTGCCCGGACTTTTCAAAAACATTTCATCTTCAAACTGACGCAAGTGATTTTGGACTTGGCGCAGTACTCACCCAAGAACTTGATGGGTCGGAACGAGTCATTGCCTACGCAAGTCGTCACTTAAATCAAGCGGAGAAAAATTATACTACGACGGAGAAAGAATGTCTAGCCATCGTATGGGGTATAAGAAAGATGAAAATGTACTTAGAAGGATATAATTTCATAGTTATCACGGATCATTTATCGCTAAAATGGCTAAATTCTATAGAATCACCAACAGGCCGATTAGCCCGCTGGGCTCTAGAGTTGCAGCAATACCAGTTCTCCATACAGTACCGAAAAGGATCTCAAAATGTGGTCGCCGACGCGTTATCTCGACAACCTTTAGAAACTTTTCAGAGAATGGTAACTAGTGAGCAGAAAATAGAATGTCCATGGAAAAATATCCTGATTTTGTAATAATAAATAATTCTCTTTACAGACATTTTCCACGTAACCACAACGATGAAGACTGCCATCCATGGAAACTTTGTGTTGGTATTAATGACAGAGAACGTGTATTGAAAGAGAATCATGATGATCCAACAGCTGGCCATCTCGGAATTCGGAAGACTATAAATCGCGTATGTAATCGGTACTATTGGCCAGGCTTGTTTAGAGATATTACCCGTTACGTGAGAAAATGTCAGTCTTGTCAAAAATACAAAGTTAGCCAACGCAAACCAGTCGGAGAAATGTTGATAAGATTACCCGAAGAACCTTGGGCCACAATCTGCCTAGACTTTGTAGGTCCATTACCACGAACCAAACATGGAAATACAATGATACTCGTGATAGTAGACCGATTTTCAAAATGGACGGAAATTATACCCCTATGAAAAGCCACATCAGAAAATTTAATAAAAGCCTTCAGAGAACGTATATTGTCGATATTTGGTGTTCCAAAAGTAGCCATTACCGATAATGGTACTCAATTCACCAGTAAACTATTTCAAAAATATCTGGAAGACATTGGAGTCAAACTACAGTACACAGCACCCAATACCCCCCAGCAAAATCCTACCGAACGAGTTAACAGAGTTATAAAAACAATGATATCACAATTTTCCGAAAATAAACATACTATTTGGGATGAATTAATACCAGAAATAACGTTGGCTACAAACACAAGTCTGTCGGAGACAACCGGTTATTCGCCAGCCTTTATAATTCAAGGTCGAGAACCTCGACTACCAAACGCGCTATTCGATGAAGTGACCAACGGAACGGGAGAAATAGCTCAAGATCCGAAAGATAAATCTATTCGACTACAGGAAATATTTAAAATCATTCAGAATAAATTGATTAAGGCTAGCCAAGATCAACTACAATCTAAGTTGGCCAAGAAGTGTTAGTCCGTCAACACCAGCTATCTAAAGCAGTGGACCAGTTTGCCGCAAAACTAGCTCCAAAATTTGATGGACCTTACACTATAGTAGAAATGCCTTCAAAGGTCATCGTAAAACTTAAGGGTCGTGATAAAGGAGACATCAAAACTTCATATATAAACGATATCAAACCTTATTTCAATATTTAATTCATTTTATATTTTTATTTACAAAAATAAAAAAAATTACCACTAATAACTTTTACAATGCACTCATAAATTTTCCTTTCTATCTTATAGCAAACTATATAAGAAAGAAAAGGAGAAAATGGCAGAAGAGAGAAGATTCCAGCAATCTGGAGAAAACTTTCGGCGACGGTTACAGGAAGAACAATCCAGAGGAAGGCGATCTATTTTATTACCGGCCGACCCTCAACCCTCACCGTCTGCAAATCGCCTCTTTCGCTCGGTTATAAGACCAGGAATCGACTCCACTATGCCATCAGCCGCATTAATTAGACATCGATATGAAGCAACAATGAACGATTTTCCATCGCACATGTCATGGAGAATGCCATCAGTAGCTATAGTCAGCCCCATGAGACAAAACAGCACTCGGCTATCCATATCCAGTACCAGTTCGGAAGTCGAACATGTAAATTTTTCAACATCCCCGGATCATACTGAAAACAACAACAACATTCAGAGATCGCCCTATGCACCTTCAGTTGAGAATATTTTAACTGAATCAGACGAAGCATATCGACTCCTTCGCCAACAATATGAAGACATAGAAAACATTGTTTACCCACACCAACAAAGTTTTTTCCCAATTGATCCGCCGTATTCTGCCGATGTTGATTCTGATGGAGAGCCCGTACAACGAGAACCTTGCCATCTACCTTTGTATCCTCAACATCCTCATCACCAACAACGTCAAGACCTCTACCTCATAAGGAAGAAGATTAACCACCTAAACGTTATTTTATGTCGGTAGATACGGTGGAAAGACATCGGAATGTTCTAGGAGATCTTAAAATGGTAGAGGGGGTGATTAGATACACCTACTTGATTAAAAGCACTCCTCAAGAGCAGATCTCGGATCAACCACACCACCCTACTTCACAAGATGAAGCCTTGGAGGCTAGTATGAACCAATCCACCTCAAACGACTCACCAAGAAGAATGATTCGGTTTTCTAGTCAACCTATAGATGAGGGTAGGCCTATAACCCCGACGATCCCAGAATCTTTCAAAGGAACGCTGTACAAGAAATCAAGTTCTTCTGAGGCATCATTTGGTTTCTTTGCAACCGCTGAATCTACCATGTGTCCACCTACTCCAAGGATACCTTGTTCTTAAGAGAAGGATTTCATAACTCCCGGACCCCAGGGGATGACAACATTAGTGTCAGAGAGACCGTTAAGTCTTTTGAAAGTCTGTCCATTACCGGAAGGGATAATCGAGTTACGCAAACATTGCAAACGCTTTCATCATCCACCAAACCGGCATCATCCACTACATCATCATCAGCGTCAACATCGTCGTCATCATCAACATCATCTTCTTCAACATCTTCAACATTATCAGCAATGGAGGTGCGTATCCCAACACCAGACGTAATATTGATAGAGGAGCCAGGACCAGTAACATCTACCAATATAACTACTGCTAGTGAAGAAGGTTCCGAGAAAATTGACTTAGTCGAAAAATGGATCGAGTCACAAAACCAAGAACGGCAACAATCTATGGGAACAAATTCAACGAATGACATTTCCTCTTCAACACTATCGAATACTTTGGAAGATATTGTGGAAGCAGGAAATCTTCCTCAAACCATAATTGATGAACTGTTGTTAAGAATACGCAGCCGTCTCACCTCAACTACTCGTAGAACGAGCATGATAGTAACTCTCGATGACAGTGTTTATCGAATATTATTCCGTCGACCAAATCTCTTCTTGATCAAGCTCATCAACCGAAGAAGGGAAGATGTGTGAGAACCAAAGTTGGTACCCGTGTTTTGGTTCCACCAACAAAAAAAACTTATTAATTTTATGTTTTACAATGAATTTATGTTAAATAAAATAATTTTATTATATTAAATGTTTTGTGTAATGTGTTTGTCCGTTAAATTCAAATAGTCGTCTATTGTGAATGATTTGTTTTGTGTAACTACAACTCTACAACAGAGTTGTACCATTCTGTCAAATGTGTGTTTACATGTATGTGTGCGTCTGTGTGCTCGTAGAAAAGTATAAAAGAAAGATCAACAATAATACAAGGGGCAGTTTGATATTGGCTGTTGGTGAGTTAACTAGTTTGTTGGCTAGTTTACTTATAAAAAAATATAAAAATAACAATGCGGAGTTGGTTTGTCCTGCTTTGTTATTAAATATGTTTTTTTAATAATTAGTGCGCGTATTAAGTGTTAAATGTTTATATTTCTCTTTAATTATCCTTTTAATAAATATGATTTTTTTTATAACGGTTAAAGAAAAAATAATCATAATTTGTTTTTATTAATAAATTTCTGTACGATCTTGGACAACGCTGAGCTACCCCAGCGTTGAGGAGAAATTCCGTCGTTACACTGCATATATGCCAACGAGCGCACTGACTCACACATCTACATTTGCGGACGATACCGCTTTTGTAAGTATACATGAAAACCCTTCAATAGCTTCTGAACAACTCCAGTCTCACATCGGCGAATTGGAAAAGTGGCTGGACAAATGGAAAATAAAAGTCAATGCCACAAAATGTACTCACGTTACATTTACTTTAAGACGGGAAAATTGTACTCCAGTACAGATAAACGAAGCCATGTGAGATATTATGGTATCCACCTTGATCGCCGCTTAACATGGACTCACCACATAGAAGCCAAGATTACACAGATAAAATTAAAGTCAACTCAAATGTACTGCCTAATTGGACCACGGTCTGCTCTAGACTTGGAGTACAAAGTGCTTTTGTACAAAACAGTTATAAAACCGATATTGCTATACGGCATTGAACTGTGCACAGTGGGGCAGAATCGAAATTTTTTGGAAATAAATCTGGCATTTCTAAACGGCTGATCCGATCGGGATAAAATTTGGCGTGAGCGTAGCCAAGGAGTTTTGAAGATGAACCCTGCAGATGCCCCAGGGACGGCGCTGTGGCGGCTCAAAGTAGGGTACCTACGACATGTAAAATTTTTAAACTCGTGCCTCGTTCACTCGTTCACCCAAATACAAAGATTTTTATATTTTCTGAAAGCGCTCGACGAGATCTTGAAAAAACATGCTTGGACATACTACTTATCTCTTATAATATCCGAGTTATAGGCATTTAAAAATTTAGTGATACAAAATTTACCATACCTTGGTCCGCCTTTTTTTGAATACCGGGTGTAATTTTGAACCAAATGGACTTGTTAGTTAGACAACAAAATTTCCAATAATATACAAAAAATTTCAGATCAATATCATTTACAGATCCAAAAATATACGTTTTTTAATTTATAAATTCAAAAAATTTTAGATTTTTGCCGTTTTTTGCCAAAAATGTGTCTTAACTCTCTTATTAATAAAATAAAATATTCTTTAAGAACATATAACAATTTTATAGTTTTCTAAAAGGTATCTTTACGCAGAACGCTTTGACGTAAAAAACTTGTTCTATTTTTTTAAAATGTTGCCACTGCGTCCTTCCGAATATGACCTATTTTTTATCAAAACTTCAACTTTGGGCGACATGTTCTAAAATCCCAAAGCTGAGATTAGAAAACTGAAAGCAGTTTTGGAAACCTCAATATGTTTTCTATTTACTCCAAAAGTATTTTCCAAGCCCTGAAAGAAATGTGGACCCTATCGGCAAAAAAGTAAAAAATCCCATTTTTGTGATTTTCATTCATATTTTTGGGAATTGCGGGATGCCCTTTGACCTTTTCAATTTTTTTCGCATTTTCTTATTTGAAATGACAAATTTAACAAGCGTTGAAAATCTCATTGAGTTTTGTTCATAAATAAAGATTTTGTCATATATTACATATTTGTTTAATTTCTAAAACTATGATTTATATCAAAATTTTAATAGGGTCGCAGATAGCTACAACAATTTAGTCCATATTTATCCCTTAATATATTTTTTAGTTAGATATGGAAATTCTCGATTCTTTACAAAAATTTTCAAGCCAATATCTCAATTACATTCAAAAATATGTTCATTTAAACCTGTATCCTTAAATTTCATATTTTTCATATTTTAGTATTAAATATGACAGAACATATTTGAATCTTATATTTACCTATTTTCTATTTGTTTGCTTAAATTTTCAGAAATTTATAACTATTTTTTACCTCAATTTTTTCGACAGATCATTTCGTTCTGTTTCGTTTATGATCATGTAGGTAAAAATATACAGGTAATGATAATTTCGATTCATTCACTAATAAGAAATATCAATGACTGAATTACAGGTTATAGTAATATAGTCCTAATGTTAATAGGTAGACAATTCGTAATTTTTTACTTTGGAATACCTGTATCGGAAATGACAAGAATTGGTATATAAGTAAAATTCTCAGATTTTAAGTACCATATTTAATAAATCTACAATGAAGATTACATTAAAGTACGAAGAGTTGTGTTCCGTTTTATGGAGTGTATCTTCAAAAGGGCCAGAAAGAATTGAAAACATTTCAAATTATATAAAAACTACATATAGTAGAAAAGTAGACAAAACAGGCATATCAAAAATTGAAAACTTTTTGATGTAAAAAGTAAGTCTGTGGATGGAAATCAAAAGAAATTTCGATTAAAATTTTGTAGTTGGATGGAAACTACTACGGAAATCTCAACTTACAACACATCAACAGGAGCGCCTTGCAAGTCATACGAAGACTTATGTTCAAGGTCAAAAAAAAAGAGGGTCACACAAAAACTTTTTTCAATCTCAAATGAGGAAATTGCTGATACATTTAACGAAATGCTGAAAAAGGAAAACCAACCTATGGATGCCGTACATATTGCAACTATTCTTCCTAATGCATCACCAAAACGACTTAAGCGAATTGTGGAAAGTATACCAACTCCAACATCACAATCAAATTTTACTGAAGAGGAAGCAATAGCGCTTATGTTGGAACTGGGTCTCAGTCGAAATAAGTACCAAATATTAAGTAAAGCTCTGCATGAAAAAGGACACATTATATTACCATCATACAAGGCGATCCAGGAAAAAAAACAAACTATCCTACCATCACCTATTGCTGTTAATGATATGGAAGCTTGTATTGATATATCATCTTTGCTCGAAAACACAGCATCAAGAATTGTGTCAGACTTTTCAGAAGACCAACTAAGGAAAATTCATAACTGTGATGTTGTCTTAATGTGTAAGTGGGGATGTGACGGTTTATCAGCACTTCCAGAATACAAACAAGCTTGTGGAAATCGGACATTAGCAAACTACAAAAGTGTATTTATGTCATCATTAGTGCCATTACGAATTCGTTCATATTCCCTTAATCCATCATCGTCAAGCATTGGAAATTCATTTGAAGATATATGGATCAATACAACTCCGGGTTCAAAAAATTTTTGTAGACCCATTGGATTTGAATATATAAAGGAGTCAAAGAAAACAACAAAAGATTTAGTGGAATATTTAAAAGATGAAATAAATGCACTGGAGCCCTTTTGCATAAAAATAAAGGAATTCTCTATTAACGTATCATATCAGCTAAGCTTAACAATGATTGATGGAAAGGTCAACAATGCCATAACAGAAACTTCTTCCTTCTGGAGATGCTCAATATGTAATGAGAAAAAGTCGCAATTCTGAAATATAAACAAAAGCAGAATTATTAATGAAGAAGTCCTGTCTTTCGGAATTTCACCACTTCATGCCAGAATACGATTTTATTACTTTTTACACATAGCATGCGACCTGAAATATAGAAGTGTGCCGCAGAATCCAAGAAGAATTTAAAGTTCAGATGGGATTAAACATCGACAAACTACTTCCAAGTTGCGGTAGTACAAATGACGGTAATACGGCGAGAAGATTTTATCGTGATTTTGAAATTACTTTAAAAATAACTGGAATCGACAAGGAGTTGCTTCGAAGAGTTAACACTATTTTAATGGCACTGAATAGTAAACATAAAATTAATGGAAATCGATTTGGGGAATATACATCTGAAATTTCAAAATTACTTGTATCTCTGTATCCATGGAGGGAACTAACACCAACAGTACACAAAGTATTGTGTCATGGTCATATAATAATTGAATCGAATATTCTTCCACTTGGAGAGTTAACAGAAGAAGCCCAGGAAGCGAGGAATCGAGATTTTAAGCATGTTCAACTATTCAGCTCAAGAAAATGCTCCAGGCAATCACAGAATGAAGATATTTTTAATAGTTTACTTCTATCTTCTGATCCTGTTCTTTCAACTATGCGAAAAAGATGGATTTGTTATGAAACTCTATCATCTCAAAACAAGGAAGATTTAAAGGACTTATATTACCTTCTGGATATGTACATATACCGATATGACAGATTATTTTATAGAAAATAAGTAGTGTTAGGAATTAACTATATAAGTAGGTTGTAAGAATTAATTGTATTATGTTTAAGATAAACAGTTCAAATAAAAAAAGCTATACTAACTGATGATATTGTAATAAATTGTGTTTTATATTTCGAAATTTAACAAATATGTAATATAAGACAAACTCTTTATTTATGAACAAAACTCAATGAAATTTTCAACGCTTGTTAAATTTGTCATTTCAAATAAGAAAATGCAAAAAAAAAAATATTGAAAAGGTCAAAGGGCATCCCGCAATTCCCAAAAATATGAATGAAAATCCCAAAAATGGGATTTTTTACATTTTTGCCCATAGGGTCCACATTTCTTTCAGGGCTGGGAAAATTCTTTTGGAGTAAATATAAAACATATTGAGGTTTGCAAAACTGCTTTCAGTTTTCTGATCCCAGCTTTAG